ATCCGGACAGCATTGATAGGATAAACGATAATCCGTTAGTGATCGGTGTGAATAATTAACAATAACATTAACTCTTTGTTACACTCAATATATTATTTTCCAACAAAACATACTGTTTTGATGAAGGAAGTTTAAACTGTCTAATTTAAGTGCAATTTTAATTTAGCATAAAAATGACAGAACAGACAAAAATGTCATATCGATGATTAGGTAGGTTATGAAATGAAACTCCCCTTCGTGTTTCATTATACTGTCTGTTCGACAATTCACTAATTCGTCATCTATTCTATGACCTATGATAAGAAATCATAAAAATTCGGCGTACATAGATAATCTTCTCTAATCACATGCTTTGCCATAAAGTGTCGGATAGGACAGGTTAATATAGGATATATCTTAGGACCACGAGGTGTCGGATAGGACAGGTCAATATAAGATATATCTTAGGACCACGAGGTGTCGGATAGCACAGGTCAATATAAGATATATCTTAGGACCACGAGGTGTCGGATAGCACAGGTCAATATAAGATATATCTTAGGACCACGAGGTGTCGGATAGGACAGGTCAATATAAGATATATCTTAGGACCACGAGGTGTCGGATAGCACAGGTCAATATAAGATATATCTTAGGACCACGAGGTATCGGATAGGACAGGTCAATATAAGATATATCTTAGGACCACGGGGTGTCGGATAGGACAGGTCAATATAAGATATATATATATATATATATATATAAGATATATCTTAGACCACGAGGTGTCGGATAGCACAGGTCAATGATATATCTTAGGACCACGAGGTGTCGGAAGGACAGGTATATATATATATATATATATATATATATACCGTAAGGTGTCGGATAGCACAGGTCAATATAAGATATATCTTAGGACCACGGGGTGTCCACGATATATCTTAGGTGTCGGATAGCACAGGTCAATATAAGATATATATAAGGACCACGGGGTGTCGGATAGGACAGGTCAATATAAGATATATCTTAGGACCACGAGGTGTCGGATAGCACAGGTCAATATAAGATATATATAAGGACCGTAAGGTGTCGAATAGCACAGGTCAATATAAGATATATATATATATATATAAGGACCACAAGGTGTCGAATAGCACAGGTCAATAAAAGATATATATATATATATAAGGACCACGAGGTGTCGGATAGGACAGACAGATATACGATAAAGCTTAGTCCAACAAGGTCCTGGAGGGGACAGGTAAATATAAGAAATATCTTAAGTTAGGGTCACAAGTTAACGGATAGGACAGCTAGATGTGAGCTTTCTGTACGCTACAAAGCTTAGGAAAATACAGATGAATATAAGAAATGTGTTAGGACAACAAGGTGCCAGTTAGGACGGATAGACTTCCGATAGATCTAAGGACCACGAGGTGTCGAATAGGACAGATCAATATAAGATATATATAAGGATCATAAGGTGTCGGATAGGACAGGTGAATTTAAGATATATCTAAAGTGTTGGAGAGGGCAGGAAAATATAAAAAATACCATAGGACCACAAGGTCTCTGAAAAGATAGATAAATAAAGAAATAGCTTAGCCCACAAGATAAATAAATATAAGAACTACATGTATGTTATATCAACAAAGTTGTGGATCGGACAGGTAAGTAAAAACTTTATTCCCGCTTAAGAAGGTGTCGAAGAGGACAGATAAGTACTAACTATATTTTAGGACGACAAGGTGTCAGATAGGACAATTTCTGTAGAGAATATTCGCGCTCTACAAGGCGTCGAGTAAGAAAGTCCACAAGGTGTTAAACTGAACAGGTAAATATGATGTATTTCAGAGTACACAGGATCCACTCTAGTTTGTTAAATGCTGGGATGTTTTTTTTTTCATTGATTTAGTTTTATCAGAAGATGATCAAACGGTTCCATAGTTGCTAATGGTTTATTGATGATTGTACTTCTACCGGGTCAAACATACTCCAATAAACATAGCCATACATTTCACGGAATTAAAAATTCATAAATCTTTACATTTTATCATCAGCCTAGCATTGTAATCCAAATCTTTATCTCTATTTCACGAGTCTTGTCTTTCTACACCGATAATGGAATATTAATTATTCATGAATCCTTTTCTATTTCTGTAGATGCATATGAAAGAGAGAATTCCAGAAATACATTACCTATTCTTCTCTTGAAAATATTACACAACAAGGAAACAGTGTTTTTTTTTTCATTTTTATTAAGATGATAACCATATATTTCCATTATCAAAATGAAAAGGGATGTAAAATCGCTTAAAAGTTAACTGAAAAGAAACATAGATACAAATTTTAACATATGCAAACTACATAGGAACATTTTAACAACATATAAAATTAGCATAGAGAAATACTTTTTCAGTCTTTGATGCTACCGGCATCTTCGAGTCTCTCCTTTACAACAGTGTGTCATCTGTCTGATGAAGTACTATTATCTTAAACAAAGGTCTCTATTTAACAAATACTCTCATACATAATTATTTGATTTGAAACAAAAATGTTTTTCTTCCGCCAAAATTCCAATCCTAAATATTCTGAAAAAATGCAACTTATATTTAAGTGTCTTTATATCTTACAACTATTGCATTTAAGTTTTTGTCTCTATTCTGAAACAATGTCCAGTACTTTTGTAGACTCTTCATGGTTTAAAACTAATTGATCACGTGTTATCAAAAATTGTAGATCTTAGTCTCAATATCATTTCTAGCAAGAACAAACCAACGTACAGTTAAACTTCCCTGCATCACGTGGGAAGTTAAAGATGCAAACCTGATTAGAAAATTATCCACTTGTAAATTTCATGATTTTTTTTTCGTGTATCAGTTGGTAAGTTTAAAAAAGTCATCTGGTCTTACATAGTTTTCTTTTCTATTATAAGGTTGATATGATATCTGCCTTGGTCACCTCCGTTTGAGTATCAAGAAAATGACATAGTCATTCAATGTCACATGATGTTACTTTTTTATCGATAAATCATCTAACAGAATAGACAATAATGAACAATAAATTGTGTTTATTTATCAGTGAAAATAATCTGAAAGATTAGATATAACATACATATTGTTTTGTAAGGCCTAGCATAAATCTCTAAACGTTGTTGATTTCCTAGGGGGCTTTTTTAAAACAAATACTGTTGACCCCTTTAGTGATCCATTTCAATAGCAATACAAAACGACAAAACGTGTGATTGTAATCTGTGACAGAAATTGATCCCTATTATTTTCCCAGCTGTCCTGCCAGTGAAATCAACAACATGTCGATTGCCGCCAGTCATTTCACCCCTAGACGTGTTTTCGGGAACACCTATATAATTTTTGGTCTGTTCTCTCAATGTAAATATCTGTATCATTTTCTCATATTACATGAAGATAATCGAATTAATTACATGGGGCGTTCAAAATCTATTGAAAATTAAAAACACAACTGATATTTCAAAAGCATTTCGTTTTTCATGACAGTAGGTAAATTTGCAAATTTTAAAAATATATATTACATATTTTGAAATGCTCAGATAAAACACCAACTCATTTTACTAAAAGATATTGGTAAACACAGACTACAACAAATTTCTTTACGGAAAGCCGTGTTTTGAAAAATAAAAAAAATTATTTCGCTTTGATAATGTGACGACCCCGATTATTAATTTTCAGAGAAAATATCAGAAGTTTTATTTCAAATCACTACAAGATTGTCTGCTAAAATAATTACATAAGATTGAAACATTCCATAATACACCGATGTGGGATTTTTAGTTGATCTGAATTGAATTTAGTTTATATCTTATAAGTTAGTACAGATTACGAAATTAATAATCTACTTTTCCCTCTGCACTATGTCTATAGAGCCATCAACAAATTCATTTTCATAGGCATGATGATCCTTCATCACGGAAGTTTTTCAGCAACTGGTATATTCAATTTTCTTTCATTTAGCATCTTGTTACACAAAAAACAGATGTTCGCAAATGATTCCTTTTTTTGTTAGATTTAAGACACGTGACATACCGACATAGAGCTCCTATACACAATGACACGACCTAGTGTATCATATTTCTGAATCAGAAAAAAAATCGAGGAAATATTTATCATCAACAGATAAAGACGGGTTGTATCAAATATTTGAGTCACGGCTGAAATTAACATGAACTTATGTACATACTTTTTAACTGTTTGCGGATAACGTATCAAAACCTACCTGTTAGCACTATTGAACACGATAAAATAATTCTATCATTTTTCCATCACATTTTGTCCTTAAATAAGTTTTTATGACACGAATATCATGAAAAATAAATAACATGACAAAATACAATTATGTTTTTCAAAAGAGATCATTAATCAATTCAATAGACTAAGTCTATTCATTTTCTGATCAAAGTAAATATTGATTTTCTAACATAATCAATATTAACTGATCGATATTGATGACTGAACACATATAATTGAATAAAGCAGTCTCTGTTTCTATTTTCATGTGCTGAGTTGTACGTTTTCTTGTATACGTGTTAAAAGAGTCTTGCTGGGTCTTTGAACACAAACGGGCACCGTACAGCAACCCATATTAGCACAGGACCCAATTTTAGCACCATACACAAATCCGGTTCAGGCTTTACTTACGGCAGTCCAGTCGTCCGTTTCCGATCGGAACATTGATGTTTTCCGACCATTTCCTCATATTCCAGCTGAGTGTGGTCCAGGACCGACATTTTTAAAATCAGAGTTTCATGACCACCAAATACAGGTTTCCACTGCACGTGTTTTTGCACGGTCGCGTGCAGAATTGTCCGAACCAACATCGACAGAGAGTATTACTGGTGATAACTTAGCTGAAAGGATCTAAGTTGATACCTCTGATTGTACCGTTCAGAAGGTCACGTGATTGTCCGTCAAACGTCCAGCGGTACGGGCCTGTATCACGTAGACCAGTATTAATTAAGCTTCCTCAGGTTTTCCGGGTGAAATTTACATCACAGCTGGGTGCCGATAGTGATCTTCTGGTTTCACTAATACATAAGCAACTGGTCTATGTACGTCCTGCGAGGGTAAGTAGCCCGGGGGACAACAGGGCACCAGATACTGTCCAGGGTGAGAATGTGCGGCCGGGGGTAGTCCACTCAAGGCTGATGCCGAGGAGTGAGAAGGAAGATAGGGCGAACCATACATACTGGGTAATTCTTGAGAACGAAGTGCACCTATTGAAGAACTGTCCAACTTTCCTGCACTATCAAGATGAGGATAAAATCCATGTGTTGACGAAGGTGGTAGAAATGCTCTCATTTTTTCACTTAAACTAAACGAAGCTGCGCTCCCCATCATTCCCTCTGCTTGGCTTGTCATGGGTCCGAAACCCGGAGGCATGGTCCCTAGAGACGGCCCAAAGCCTCCTAACATCGGAATTGGGAAAGCGTATTTGTCCTTTTTAAGAAGGGATTTTGGTTTCCTTCTGGGTCTATATTTGTATTCTGGATGTTCCTTCATATGAAGAGCCCGTAATCGTTTGGCTTCATCAATAAATGGCCGTTTGTCCTCCTCGGAGAGTAGTTTCCATTCCGCTCCTAACCGCTTACTGATTTCAGAGTTGTGCATTTTGGGATTTTCTTGTGCCATTTTTCGTCTTTGGCCTCTTGACCACACCATAAAAGCATTCATCGGTCTTTTCACGTGGTCATTGTTTAGATGTTTATTATTTTCCATGTTTATGTCAATACTTCCTCCTCCACCTGATGGCGACAGGTCTTGTGGGCTCATTTCACCACTAGTGCTCATTATGTCCGATGCTGTTTAACTCACCTTACGCCGATAAAAATATTTACCTGGATGCGGTTTTTCACCTGTAATCATCCACGTGTTGTTGGTAAATAATGCAGTTTACCACAGAATGTAAACATTCAACACCGACTTTTTCAAGGAGTCCAAGGAAAATGTCACACACAGCAAACGTTCAAACAAGTATTTCACAGTCTGTAATAATGACAGACATCAGTTGTATTCCGGTTTCAATATGAGAATCACCTGCTATAAACGACCTGATCCATACACAAGGACAAGCAAACTACTCGGATTTTTAACTTCAAAAGCTTAAATTACATTCTATCGACCTAAACTCACGCCCTACAGAATCTGTAGTGTAATGATGTCATAAGCAGCGTCAACCGCCAATCATTTCCAGAGACGCATGTAAGCTCCGCCCCCTCTTTTGTAAAAGCGGTTTTAATTGGTGAAGTATTGTAAACGGCGTGATATCTTAACAGCAGTAGGCGTTAAACTCTCTGCTATTGAACACGCCCTTTGGTGTCAGTAACACTTTGACTGGTTAGAAAAGACATAACGCTTTGTACAGCGCTGTTTCAACCCAATAAATGACTACTGACTCGGGTAAATGGACTGATATTTGTTTACGAGATACCGGCACACTATTGACAATCAGTTTGCGGTTTGCCGGCCACGTGCTACCGCCCTGACAGTAATCTCTGACTAAGGCTAATTTACAGACCATAAATTTATCTGAACATATTATTGTCTTAACACCATTTCTTTATCTTTTTGTTGGATTATCTATTTGATTCTGCTCCCTAAGATTCCGTCCAATTTGTTAAGAGACGGTAAACGTCTTCTTAGCAAATCATGGACTTTTCTTCACATTGTGAATTGTAAACGTAAGTAGATATTTTCTATCTTTTAAATGGTGAAAAATTTGTATAGACGGTTGACTGTTAATGCTGTGATTCCGGCGGATTGTGTAACAAAATTATCAATATTTGGATGACGCAATTGTATCCAGGATAATCATGTTGTCCGTAATATATATTCTTGTCTACTCAAAATGTAACTTTTAGATTATTTATTTGAAATGTAGGTTTATGATGTTCCTGAAAATGAAAGTCAATTGATTCATTTGGCTTCCTCCGTCAGGTCAAAACAGAATCTAAGATGCAAATATAACGTACATATATACGCAGTTCTTCTTGCTGTTGAAATCTACAGTCATGCTTGTATAAGCTAAATTCTCTGCTAATTTAAGGATTATAACTTAACTATTTAAATAAAATCTCATGTATACATTTTCATAAGAAGATAACACAAATTAAAATCTCAAAAGCGTTTTTGTAATGAAGCATTCAGTACTAGAATCAAAGCGTTATGATATCGATACATCTAATTTTGTTGTATTTTACTTGTCACCAACCATAATGAACTAATTAATTTGTTTTAATATCTAAATCTTATAAAAAGTGTGTGATTTGTTTTATTGCGTTAAGAGTTAATGACATCAGGGCTTGGACATACGTTATTTCAACTTAGACAAGCTCTTCATTGGACGAATGTCCAACACGATAGGACAGCGTTAATATATCCACTTAATATGTATTGACCTTTAATCGAAATATTTCAGAAAGGGAGCAGAAATTCAAGAAAGAAAGGAAGAAATAAACAAACAAACAAGACAGACAAAAAGATCGATTATATGTTTTGAGATAGTTTTCATGCTGGTATGAATGTTAAATACCGTATAGTTTCATCCAAGTGATCACAGTTCACATATATACTGACAATAAGTTACAGATAAATATCTTTAATCTTAAAGGCTTTTACTATCAAAATGTAATGATTTCGAAGAATGCACGAGTAAATTTAGACATATTAATTTACGAACTATATATAATAAAAAATACAACAGTGTGGCACAGTTGCTAATGAATTTGATTATATCTTTCATTTTTCACAAATCCGGGTCATATAAAAATCACACATAAAACTAAATTGAAATATAAATTCTTAAAAGCGAAAGTAAAAAACACAAAGAACCACTTGTTATTGATTAATAATACACTTATTAACACAGTTAGTGTCGATGACGTTCTCAATACGAGGACAATTATATCATATTGAAATACAAGCATTGATTCCATACATATGTGATGTACAATGAACGCGTGTGATTTCAGGAGAGGTTTTTGTCCTGAATATGTCGGAGACGAATATAACTATTTGTACTAATGTAATAACGAATCGGGTTTAAGGTTACGGCAGATCATCATATAGAATGATTGTGAAATGTGTAATACTGTAATTTGAAGTAAGCAGCAGTAACGACGACGACACCAACATCATACCACAGGCACAAACAATCTTTCCATTTTTCCATATTTTCGAGGTTTTGGTGAAAAGGTCACAAGGATGGCATATTTGAATAGTAGAAGGTTTGCCCGATAATGGTAAGTATCTTTGGTCGTGAGAAAAAGAGAACTGGATATTTAGTTTGAAACAATACTTATCTTTAGTGACTTGAGTACATTTATTCTGAGTTTCCATAATGTAATTGTATATTTCCATGTGAAAATGTTGTATTTGCATCCTTCGTTTTACAAAAATAGTCTAATGTGCGTTAAAAGGAGGTTCGAAAAATGTATAAAAGAATTAACAATTTTCTTTTCTTGCGGAACTTTTAAATACGAGGAATATTGAATGTCTCATCTCTGATGAATTCTTCAAACTTTGTATAGATCAGTAGTGATAAGAATAAAACTTTTTGTAGGAAACATTTTGAGGATTTTGAGTCTCCATGCTGACCCGTAGTATTTTGCGTGTATTTGTTAAAACTTTCTAGTTTGTAATTGCTATGGTGTTTTGTTAGTCCCGAAGTTTATCTTAACCTGCGTGCCACGCTTAATTAAACACTTATGTAACTCTTTTATTTTGTAACAGCATGTGAGGTATTGTATTTTGTAACTGTGTTGATTTTGCAGGTATTGTATTTTGTAACTGCTTCTTGAGGTATTGTATTTTGTAACTGCTTGTTGAGGTATTGTATTTTGTAACTGCTTGTTGAGGTATTGTATTTTGTAACTGCTTGTTGAGGTATTGTATTTTGTAACTGTTTGTTGAGGTATTGTATTTTGTAACTGCTTGTTGAGGTATTGTATTTTGTAACTGCTTGTTGAGGTATTGTATTTTGTAACTGCTTGTTGAGGTATTGTATTTTGTAACTGCTTGTTGAGGTATTGTATTTTGTAACTGCTTGTTGAGGTATTGATTTTGTAACTGTATTTGTATTTTGTAACTGCTTGTTGAGGTATTATATTTTGGACTGCTTGTTGAGGTATTGTATTTTGTAACTGCTTGTTGAGGTATTGTATTTTGTAACCGCTTGTTGAGGTATTGTATTTTGTAACTGTTTGTATTTTGAACTGCTATTGTATTTTTGTGTATTGTATTTTGTAACTGCTTGTTGAGGTATTGTATTTTGTAACTGCTTGTTGAGGTATTTTATTTTGTAACTTGTTCTTGACTCCATTGTATTTTGTAAATGCTTGTTGAGGTATTGTATTTTGTAACTGCTTGTTGAGGTATTGTATTTTGTAACTGCTTGTTGAGGTATTGTATTTTGTAACTGCTTGTTGAGGTATTGTATTTTGTAACTGCTTGTTGAGGTATTGTATTTTGTAACTGCTTGTTGAGGTATTGTATTTTGTAACTGCTTGTTGAGGTATTGTATTTTGTAACCGCTTGTTGAGGTATTGTATTTTGTAACTGCTTGTTGATGGTATTGTATTTTGTAACTGCTTGTTGAAACTGCTTGTTGAGGTATTGTATTTTGTAACTTGTTGAGGTATTGTATTTTGTATTTTTGTAACTGCTTGTTGATTATTGTATTTTGTAACTGCTTGTTGAGGTATTGTATTTTGTAACTGCTTGTTGAGGTATTGTATTTTGTAACTGCTTGTTGAGGTATTGTATTTTGTAACTGCTTGTTGAGGTATTGTATTTTGTAACTGCTTGTTGAGGTATTGTATTTTGTAACTGCTTGTTGAGGTATTGTATTTTGTAACTGCTTGTTGAGGTATTGTATTTTGTAACTGCTTGTTGAGGTATTGTATTTTGTATTTTGTATTGTATTTTGTAACTGCTTGTTGAGGTATTGTATTTTGTAACTGCTTGTTGACGGTATTGTATTTTGTAACTGTTTGTTGATGGTATTGTATTTTGTAACTGCTTGTTGAGGTATTGTATTTTGTAACTGCTTGTTGAGGTGTTGTATTTTGTAACAGGGTGTTGAGGTATTGTATTTTGTAACAGCATGTTGAGGTATTGTATTTTGTAACGGTATGTTGAGGTATTGTATTTTGTAACTGTATGTTGACGGTATTATATTTTGTAACTGCTTGTTGAGGTATTGTATTTTGTAACTGCTTGTTGACTGTATTGTATTTTGTAACTGCTTGTTGAGGTATTGTATTTTGTAACTGCTTGTTGAGGTATTGTATTTTGTAACTGCTTGTTGAGGTATTGTATTTTGTAACCGCTTGTAGAGTTATTGTATTTTGTAACTGTTTGTTGAGGTATTGTATTTTGTAACTGTATGTTGATGTATTGTATTTTGTAACAGCATGTTGAGGTATTGTATTTTGTAACTGCTTGTTGAGGTATTGTATTTTGTAACTGCTTGTTGAGGTATTGTATTTTGTAACTGCTTGTTAAGGTATTGTATTTTGGAACTGTTTGTTGAGGTATTGTATTTTGTAACTTCTTGTTGAAGTATTGTATTTTGTAACTGTATGTTGATGTATTGTATTTTGTAACAGCATGTTGAGGTATTGTATTTTGTAACTGCTTGTTGAGGTATTGTATTTTGGACTGCTTGTTAAGGTATTGTATTTTGTAACTGCTTGTTAAGGTATTGTATTTTGGAACTGTTTGTTGAGGTATTGTATTTTGTAACTGTATGTTGAGGTATTGTATTTTGTAACCGCATGTTGAGGTATTGTATTTTGTAACCGCTTGTCGAGATATTGTATTTTGTAACTGCTTGTTGAGGTATTGTATTTTGTAACGGTATGTTG